GCATAGTGCGTATGTTCCCATACTTATCATATTTCTATGCATGTTCCTGAACACTAACCCTTAAGAATTTTCACTTCTATACAGCAAATAAGTCTTTCTAAATTGTATTTCCTTGTGTATTGTCCATCTAACTCTTATTAGTGCTTAACTTAACTGTTTTCTGTTTTGTTTCAACCAGCGCAACCGGAACTCGAAGTTACAAGAGGATTCTGGCGTATCTAGTCGAAAGGGTGACGATAACTCGAGCTGTCATTTAAATTTAAACAGCGAGAGCACCGCATCCTCCATAGAAAAGAACACAGATAATCTGAGTCAATCGAAGGACGAGTATAGTTGCTCGGACTACTCACGCAGGTTGATATTCTCAAGCAAAGTAATCGAATGAATCCCCATTAAAGTGTTTTCAATTGCAGTTACAACATGACAAATAATGCCAACGAGCTAAGTGGCATACGCATGAATTCGCCGTTCCGCAATCTCTCGAAACATTTCAAGCGACCTGAGTTTCTGCGCGGCATGAAGCGTAAAATAAATCTGGTCAATCGCTCGGAGAACAATTCATGCATGGATGTGGATGCCTCTAGCAGTGCGAGTACAAGCACTGGATTGACCCAAGAAATCGAGATACTCAACATTGGGAGCAGCACGCCCAAGAAGCGAAAGGCACGCTCCTCACCCATACGGGGCGTACTGAAAGTGCGATCACTATCGGATGATGAGTTGCCCATGCAACATCTACTAGGATCTGAGGCTAATGTAGCCAATGTGGTCTTCTCAACGCCTGTGTCCTCACAGAAGCTGCCACGTCGCGACGGTGGCCTGCTGGGCAAGCTAAAGGCAACACGTTTCGCCCTGCCCTTGTCCATTGAAAATAAAAAGCGTGAGCACATGGCCGTGGAAAAACTATCCAGTGTTCAGTACCATCTAAAGTTGGCCGATGAACCAACTATGTCGCCCATCAATCATGGCGGCGTCACTGTGCCCAAGACGCCAAAGAATACTATAAACGTAAATACACCATTTCGTACGCCAAAATCTGTGCGACGAGGAATGCGGGTCTCAAACGAGCGCATCCTTGGCACACCTGACTATTTGGCGCCAGAGCTGCTGCTGAAGCAAGGTCATGGACCGGCTGTCGACTGGTGGGCACTGGGTGTGTGCTTCTACGAATTCATGACTGGCATTCCGCCCTTCAACGATGAAACGCCTCAGAAAGTTTTTGACAACATTCTTAATAAGAGTAAGTAATGGTAGCTGCGATATAGATGGTATTCTAAATGTTACTCCTCTACAGACATTGAATGGCCTGAAGGGGATGAGGCTTTATCGGCTGATGCAATGGAGGCTGTGGAGCTAATGTTGACCATGGAGCCCGCGGAGCGCCCAGCTGCCAGAGAGGTGCAGCAGATGCGTATTTTTGTTGGCATCGACTGGGAGAACATTGGGCACATGGAGCCACCGTTTGTGCCTACGCCGGACAATCCAACCGATACCGGATACTTCGACGCACGCAATAATATGCAGCACCTGCAATTATCCAACTTTGCGATGGATGATTAGAGATTAGTTAACCCGTACGACTAGTTCTATAAGCTAAGTGTTATTTATATAGATTGTGTAGCAATTTGTATTTGCCAGTTTTATTTTATATATATATATATGTTTTGATTGTTATCTTCGTTAGATCAATATTTATGCCCATCCTAGTGCATCTTAATTATATTTCATTTAATACCTTCGAAATATCACACCTTCGTTGTAAATTATCATGTATAACGTTCGATTTTGATTTCGATTCAATTTTGTTACTGTAACTAAGCTTAAACAAATAGCTTCAAGTAGGCACGCTAGTAACTGATTATACAATTTTTGTCTCCAAGATGTAAGCATTAAAGTTAAACACACACAATTGAAATTGTTTTGCTTGCAGTTTCCTCCAATATAGCAAAAAAGAAAATTATCACTTTATTCATTTCAGTTGATGTATGTATATATGTATATATATATATAAATGTATGTATATGTCTAAATCTAGAATTCGTAGAAAAATAACACAATTGGCTGCCACAAGTATAACTATGCTGCTTTTAGCTTGTAGTCGCAATCCCACACCTCCGGAATGGTCGTTAGATAGCTCTCCTCGTAAAACACATCGATTAGGCAACATATCAAATGGGGAACCGAGCGGTGATCGGGCATAGGTTGCCCTTTCAGAATGCTTATGGCCCTGACGATATGCGGCTTAACGTCCACAAATTTTTTATTGGCCAACAGCATGGCCAGCTCACGCATGGCGCTCTCGTACTCCTCGGAAGGCAGCCCCACGTCACGACTGGCCGGAAAGAGAGAATAGATTATGCATGCCAGACACCGTGTCAGCACTTTGCGCCTGCAATGCAAAACAATCATTTATAAACATGCTGATTATAGATGGATGGTTGTTATGGTTTACTTGTTAGTAATGTTTTCAGATTTCAGGCCTATGGCGCCCAGCAGTCCGTCGCTCCATCCCTCAGCTTTTGTGGAGGCTATCTGCAACTGGCGCGCGAGCATGTAGAGCGGCTTCTTGATGTGCTGCGACTCCTGAAGTAGCTTGCAGCCACGTGATATGATGAGACCCCAGACTAGTGCCATGCGCGGTTCGGTCTGCGGATTGGTCTTTAGATTTTCCAGCAATTGGGTCAGGTCCTGCAGAAAGGTGATCTTCTCGCCGACCGTTTCGATCTCCTCCAGTTTGTAGAGTACAAAGATGTGCAATGAAAAGAAGTAACCGCCGCCCATGACGGGCATCAGCTCCAGCTTGGGAAGCGACATTTGCAGCGCCTCGAACAGGCCCTGCCAGCTGGGTGAGTGCAAAGCGGCACGCTCTGCCGATCTCCGGAAATAGCACTCAATGCTGGACTCCAGCAGCGTGTAGATACAAGAAATGTATGTATTTAAATGGCCGATGGCAGGCAGGACAGCGCACATGACCGGATTGCCCGGAGGACACTGATGTTGCCAGCAGACCAAAGTTTGAATATGCAAGCTAAATTTACAATAGATTAGTGATGTTTGCTTATCAATTCCAAAAGTCAGAAGAATATAGTTAATCGACTTACTTAGATACCTCCTCGCTTTGCGTCTGCGTTGGAGCCACAATCTCAAGCATAAGGTTGAGTGCTTCGCGACGTTGCTCTTCCGGCGTACGATTCTCACTGCAGCCGCTAATGGCTACGTCAATTGAGTCCAAGAGCTTTTCAAAAGCAGCGGTAAAGGCCCGTTCACCCTCCTTGGTGGCCAAAAGCTTCTTGTGCTTGATCGCACAGGCACGCTGCATGCTGACCATGGAGCGCGTGTACAGCATGCGCTTGGCCGTTGCCTGCACCACGGCACCCTGTGCGTTGCTCTCTGGCAGCATGGCGCAGGCTGCGTGAATGAGTCTTAAAGAGAAACCGAAGGTTAACTGAAAGTTAGAAATGATTTCATTGAGCCACTTACTCCAGAACGGCGCGATCAGCGTAGTTGGTTTCGGTGGGCAGCTTCAGCGCAATGGCTGGATCAACGTGAGCCACAAACCACTTGAGCAACTGCTCCAGTTCGCTGTATTCGACAAGATGCCAGGGCTGGCTGATAGCATCCTCGAGTATCTTGCTTGTATTCGGATGCATGTGAATGTTCGGCTCGAATGCCATTTTGATAAAGATGTTGAAGAGGTGCGAGGTGAGAGTCAGCGGCTGTGACGTTCTCGCGAACCAAGTGTTCCAATCGATCCTTATAAATATGTGAGCTAACATGGCATGCGACTCTGGTATGAAGCGCTGCAAGCTCTCATAGAGCAGCTCGATATGCTGGGCGGTTGGCAGGAAGCGCTCCCAGGGCAGCTGTGACAAACCCTCATGAATGGGCACCAGAACATGGCTAGCGACGTTGAGCTGTGCAAAGTGATGCACATACCAAGCGAACGTGTGCTCCAAAATCTTGCTTGAGGCGGGCAGATACTGCACCACTTGCAATATATTGCATATAAAAGATCTGATCATGAGCTTGCTGCTCTCCACATGCGGCTCACTCCATGGCAGCAAGATCTTGCCCTGACCGGGGCTAAGCTGACGTATCCAGTGTGCGGCTGCGCCTGCGGCCTGTTCAGTATTCTCCGTGTATGGGATTAGCCACGGTGCATAGGTCTCCACAATGGAGCCGAAGACAATGTCGCTGACTAAAAATGAGCCGAATTAAATTGATTCACGAATATTCGTTGAGTCACTCACTCTGATCGGCCAGCAGTTCCTGATAGCTGCAAATGGCAGCCGCCAGCACCACCTGTCCAAAGCAGGTGAACCACATAACCAGCGGCTTGCAATACTCCTTGTGCTTGGGATACAGTCCATAGAGGCCATGATGAAGTCGCTCCTTTTGAAAGTGACGCGCAAACAGCAAAAGCGTCTCCGTAGCTGCTTTCAGCGTAAACAACTTCTGGCGACGGGCAAAGTCAGACGCCAATTCCTGCAGTTCCACCTCCTGGCTGTTCAGTGTCAGAGCAGAGCTTGCAGGCGATAAAAGCGCATTTAGCAGGTCAAGCAACACCAACGGCATCAGCTTTTGATCCGAAATGCGATCGAGAACTAGCTGCATGACCTCGCCGTAGTGCTGCGGAAAGTCGTACGTAAAGATGTGAACCAGCTGACGGCGGAACTGATCTTGCAAGAGGCTACTGTGCGGCTGCGACCAAGACTCCAGGCCTTGCAGCACCAGCAACAGCAGCCGATTAATTTCACTCAGTTTTGGCTGATATGCCTCCAGCCAGCTGAGCAGATCAAACTTGGACAGGAGTACGAACAGAATTTTTGTATCGCAGCGCTTCAGATGCGAATCGATGAGAAATTGGTACATGTCCAGAAAATGTTCGGCGTCAGTGCGACAGGGCACAAAAACGCCAGCCAGCAGCTCCACAAGGTCACCCCGTCGCAGTGCCAAACGTAGCACTTCCAATCCCTGGTCTGCCTGCTCGGCTTGGATGAAAATCTATTAAGAGAAAGGTGACCATCTTAAGTGATTTGCATCGCGCATTAATTTCTTTCTGAGTACTTACTCCAAGGTCTTGCAGCATTTGGGCGTATAAACTTTTGGTGGGCTGAAACTTCATTGTTATGTCGTTCATGTTGTCTACAACATAATAGAAGAATTTGATGCCAATGGGCGTAGCGTATTTGTTAGACTTGGCCTGCTCTTGCAGCAGATTCTGTATGTAGCCTTCCAGCTCTTCGATGGCCTGAGCAAAGCCATCCACGTTCAGTGCCAGCATCTCTTCCACTATCTTATTATGACGTTCTCGGTTTTGTTCCTGCTTTCTGGCTATCTGCCCGTTGTAACGGATATGTTCCGGCACTAGCTGGATTTGCGCCGGACGCACGCACTTGCGATTGAAGAGCAAGGACTCGCACTCCTTGCTACGCTCTTCATTGTAAGGCACCATCTGGTACAATGATGGCACGCGTTCCAGATAGTTTAGGTTTAATGAATTCAGCTCCGATGAATTGTAGTGGAATTTACTGTAATCAAAAGGAGTACGAGTTAAGAAAAGACAGATATTTGTAGGGGATTGCTAGGATATCCCTTTTTCATTCAGCATAAACTCAAATTTCTTACTTAGCTGTACTGTTGAGCGTTTGTACGCGCCGCTTTAGCTCGGACAGGGTGTTGCTATCGATTGGGCGCTCCTCAATTTGTTCCGGCCGACTGTGGTTAGGTGGGGGAAGGCGTTTGTCATAGGTTGTCAGATGCATTTTGAGACGTTGGGCTGGTGGCAGCCTTGGCTTCGGCTTCAGCGGAGTGCGCAACACTTTGTGGAGATGCACCCGATAGATCTTGGCCGACCATTGATCCGCCTGCTGACGCTGCTCCCTGCGCAGATCACTGGCGCTAAGAAACTCGGTCCAGTGAGAGGTGGGGCCATTGAGCAGCTCGCGCAGCTTCTCGTTGTACTGTGCTGGCAGCTGACAGGCATCGCTGGCTAATTTATTGATCTGTGTGTCCTCCAGCCAAAGAGCGCAGCTCTGCATTAGCTTGGTGCAGCTGCGGTACATGTGCGCAACTGCATCGTCTTCGGCGCGCTTGGTGGCAATGGCAGCATAATACACTTCGGCCGATTTCAGCTGCGTCTTGATGGACTTCATCAGTGGCACATTGTGCTCATAAAACTTTTCGGCCACGCCATAGTTTAGATTCATATTCTGGCTAACGTAGTCCTCAGGCAGCCGCCACAGATAGAGCTCGAAGAATTTCTGGCAGACAATTGGAAATAGGGAGTGCCTGATGTCCATGTTGGCCAAGAGCTGTGCGTATTTGTAGATGACCAGATGCTGTGCGGGAAAGAGGGTCGTCTTGCTGAGCGACAGAGTTTTCTTAAGGGCCGCCTCCACTGTTTGCGTGGATAACTGGCGCAAGAATTCTGGCCAAAACCGACTATCCTGCAGCCTGAACTCAATCTCTAATAGTACAAGATTTAACCAGCAGTTCTGTGGTAAGATCATGGGTAGCCGCGAATTGGTTTGACCTCCGAAAATGTATTTCAGTGCTGAGGGTTTTAATGTCAGCTTCCAGTCGGTAAAGTCCTAGAAGAATGTTAGCTAACTAATCTGAAATCAATGAAACGTGATTTATTAAAATACCTTGTAGTAGTTATAAAAGAACTCGACGGTCTGCACACGACAATCGGTAAATTGGTATGCGATACTCAGCATCTTATCCAGGAGGTATAGAACGTGAGGATTTTGTGCCCAGCCAGGCAACGCAGTGAAGCAGTTCAGCCAAATATTGATAAGATTCAGAGGCGAGCAGAGACCATAGCTAAAGCGCATGAATATATATTAGATGTCAATAAGTTTAATGTGGTCAATTTATGACTTGCCTCGTATAAGACACAATCTGGTGATGCAGCATATTATCCAACAATTCGAGAATGGGACCAATGGAATTGGCATATACTATATCCTTGGCCACCTTTAGGTAAGTCCTGTCCGCATTGAGCAGCGTTATCAGCAGTTTCTGAAAACTGTAAAAAAAATCTATTTCTAGTATCATTATTCTTGGTCGTCTTCATTTATTTCATACCTTTGGCAATTGGCCAACGTGTCGGGAGTTTCGAGAAAGAGCGGCACAATCAGCTCGAGACTGCGAATGACAGCCGCATGGCGATGATCGTTGAGCAGCTGATGAAGCAGCTCGAAGCCACGCTGGCATATAACTGGTATTGAGTGACCATGCAAGCTAATCAGCACGCTGACATATAAGGCCAGTGGACGTTGCTCGTTAACGCCCTGCCATATCATTTCCAGGCGCTCCAAGTCCGGCACAAAGAGCAGCGGCTCCGTGGGATGCTGCAGAGTGCGCTTTACAGATTCCACACTTTGATCCATCAGATGCAGACGTAGCATAGAGATCATGCGCCAGCACCAGTTGGTAAATTGCTCTCGGCTCGATTGAGTCGAGTCGATCAGCAAGGAGACTTGCCGCACGCTCTCTGATATGCTGGATGCACCAATGACCTCCGGCGCATGCTTAGTTATGGCTTCAGTCACGAGACAAGCCATGCGTACGTGAATATTGTGGGGCAAATAAAGACGTCCCTCGTCATCGAAGCCCCAATTGAGATGACCAATGATCAGTCGCGCCAATTGGTTTTCAGCTGTTTGGTAATCAAAGTGTAGCAGCCAGTTGGACAGTAGCTCAAAGCTATCCATATTTGGGTGCCAGTTCTCTAACGGCAGGGCTTTGAATAGGTAAGCTGCCTGATCGATCTCAGCTAAGCGCGTCTTCAGCTGCAGCAGCAGGCAGTCCAGTAGCTCCTCATAAGCTAGAGTGATATTTACTAGCATGTCTCGTGCGGCTTTGTAGCAGAACTCGCGAGTGGCTTGATGAATGAATCCAATCTGTGGGTGGTTGAGAGTGCGATCTATTAGCGAACTGGAAGGAATCTTGATAATCTACCTGGAATATGGTCAAACAAATGATGCGTATTATCGGCCAGTCTTTTGTGCGATCGCGCGCATTGGCCATCTCGAAGAAGGCCTGCAGCAGATAGTACATATCCTCGGTGGAAACATCTGCATTAGCCACATCGAATTTGCTCCAAAAATCCGTTTGAAATATGAACTCTGGATCAGCGGTCAGCGGGGTCGTCAAATCACTGGGAAAGCCAACGTTGAGGTAGTAAAACAAATGCCAAATAATATCCGCATGAAGCGTTGTGTAAGGCAACGTGGAGAAGTACTGCCAGGTGCCCAAATTGCGCGAGCGATATATGTAGCTGCAGGCGCGTATAAGTAATGCCTGCATTTCCAGCTCGATGCGTTCGCACAGTTCTTGGGGCTTGGCCAGGTTGTTGCTCCTGCAAGGGATAAATATGTTATACGTGCAGAAAAATCAACTGCCAGGTCCACTTACAGGAAGAGCTCGTGGTAATCGGAGGCGTATTGCAACGAGTGGCGAATCAGGCGCCCTAGACGCTTGGCCAGCTGCTTGTAGCGCTCGTTGTTATAGGTCAGCATGCCCTCGCCCAGTGTCTCGACTAGCTGTGCGAAGAAGGCCACCACAGTGAGCATCTGCTGAGGCGTTATCATATCTGGCTCAATGATATAGTCACCCAGGAATTTCTCGATGCACAAAGCGGAGCTGCAAAGCATGGGAAGGAGTTGCTAACATTTTGTATAAATGACAGACTCAGTGCAGATCTTACGTGAAGAGCTTATCAAAGGGCAACTGATTGAGCAGGGCTATTAGATCGGCTTCCTTGAGCCCAACACATTCGCCCGTTGGCGTGAGTGTGTCCTCGCCATCCGAGTCCACCACTGTCCATCGCTCAGTGTCTCCAGTTGGCTGCGAGAGATCCCTCTGTGCCTGCACCTGACTCTTGAGATAATCGTTTCGCTTTTTAATGGGCAGCAAAAGGATTTGTAGCACCGCAATGCAATGATTGATTTCTGGAGAATTCAGTGGCAGAGGCAGCTCACTGGGCTGGGTGGCCTTAGATTTTGGGGTTGTCTGTATCATGCCCGGTAGCTGCAAGAACTCTGCTGCCCAGGCGCCAACGCCGTTGGGGCAGCGCAATATATTAAAGAGCAAAAACCAGTGATCCTCCTTGGTGGCCAGCAGCAACTGCAGGGCAATCAGCTTGCGCAGCCAAAGCTTAAGGTCCGCGTCGAAATTCTGAATGAATTTTATAAAAAAGATATTTTAGATCATGGAACTATAGTCACATGGTAAATAAGTACCGCATTGGGGCTGGGTCGTCGTGCAAAGTTGAACGCGATGCAAATCGCACGTCTTAGCTGGGCTACGCACTGCAGAGCATTTGCATCCAATTCGTTGTGCAAAACAATGGATGCTTGGGCATCGATATGAGGATATGCAATCAGTTTATTGATAAGGTGATCGATTTTCACTTTAGTTAGCTTCGCTGTAATCAAATTGGTAGTGTAGGTATGGCAGACCAGATCGTAGAGCCCTGTCAATGCCGCCGTGGCAGATTCCAGCTTAATGGGATCAACTTTCATGCGACTGCAAAGGCAAAAGGAATTAATATTTGGATTGGTTGAGTGCTTGCCACTTACTCGTAGGTCACGCTTTCCCGGACAACGTTGCCGTCACCGCAGGTGGCGCTAAAGGTGCGCGTCACTGGCTCACGTATCCAGACCTGCTGTTGCGTTTCGAGACAATCCTTGCGCTTGTCCTTAATGTCATGCAGATTGGACGAGAGTTTGCCTTGGAGATCGTAATACTCTTGCAGTGCAACATGGAGTGGATCTGATTCACTCGATTCGAGCAGCGTGTTCATTAGGAACTCCAATTCGAATTGCTTGACCAGTTCTAAGTCGCTGCAGTGATAAATTTGCTTCAGCTGCTCGCTGGTGAACGGTTTTAGATGGCTGCTTGCCAGCGCAAAGCCCGGCGAGCGTGCCCCTCGCTCCTTATAAACAATCTGCGTCTTCTGCTCCTCGATGAGTGCATTGCTAATGCGTATCGGCTGCAGATTGGGATATTGCACTAATGGAGCACTGATCACTGGTGCTATGGGTGCACATGGTGCACTAGGTGTCGGCTCTGGTTCCTCTTCTTGGGTATTTGTTGTCGTTGCCGTTGCTGCTATATCATCGGGCATTGGCACTGTATCACTTGATATGCCACAGTCATGACTAATAATGTCTTCGGCTTTGCTGTTGCTGCTGCTGGCCAATGCAGCCACGCGCTCGAATTCCTCCAGCAGCGACGCATTTTCTAGCTGCCTTTGTTCGGAGACAATACTTGTTGATAAGTCACTAGTTGCTTCTTCTTCTTCATCCTCCTCCCTCGATTGTGTGCGATCGTGGATTGCCCTTTGCTTTTTAGTTTTCTACGATTTATTCTTATAGTATAGTATATAGATTTATAAAATTGTTATTGCACAAATACATACGGTTTTTTTTGGCTTAACCAAAGTAGCCATTTTTAATAATGAATAAGGTACCTATGTATTTGCTCAATTTGCTGTGACGAAGAACTTTTGCGTGTTTTGCATTTCGTTGCGCCTCTAACAATAAAACCCCCTACAACTTGCTGATTGTTATTGTCAGTGATGAGCAGGCTTTATTTTTCCGGCTATGTTTTCCAACTAAGAGAATTCATAAGCTTCTGATTACATTTGATAGTGGTCTTGTGGTACGAAATTGTTGTGATTGAATTGCAGTGCATATTTGATATAAACTACGATATTTTTGTTTAATATTCGTGAAGCTCTAAGATCATAAACCAATGAATTCAGCTTTTGTCGGGCAAACAAGCTTACGCCAGCACTGTTGTTAAACAGCTGTTAATGCAACAGCTATCGATAAACAGCTGATATCGTGATTGTGATGGGCAGCACTGTAAGTAGCAAGTGGCAGTCCTTCCTTTAACGAAGCACGAGTGGTGATATTTTTGAAAATGTACTGAAACAACTATGTTAAAAAAAAACATAAATTAATGCCAATTAATAAAAAATAACCATAAATTTATTAATTTTAAATTAGTTTTTATTTAAATATATTAAAATTCTTTTTTTTTTTCACTTGCTTACACATACATAAGTACATAGACATAAATTGGTTTGGTACATTACGCATCCATGGAATACCTCTCAAAGATATTGCAGATGCGTAAATCTATACTCTTGTACAATAATCACAGCATCTTTATCGACATTCTGCACAGAAGGTGCATGAGTAAATCCCCTCGTTAATTAGTCTACGCATTGACTTAACTTATAAATTATGGACTATGTATATCGACTAAATTTTCATTTATATGTATATGTATATGTGTGTTTCCGGAGGGTTTTAGTAAATCTCAGAACGTCGTCTTTGAGCCAAGCTGCCGATAAACTCCCGTCTCGCCCGAAGGAACTGTATCCAACTGAATTCTGCTCACATTGCAGATGGAGTTGCGATGCTCCTCATTGGATGAAGAGTTGGTGAAAATGACAGCTATGGGATTCGTCTTATTCTTTCCCTGTGACTCGTTGGCATCGAAGGCGTGATTGACCTTCTCCTCTTTGCAATTGGTGGTCGCTGAGGAGTTGCTGCTGCTGCGTCTATTCAGCCCAGATTCCTCCTCGTGCTTGATGTAGTACGGCTTGGGCACATTCAGGCGCTCGTAACAACGGAAGATGATCGGGTGCAGCAGCTTGGCATCGTATTCATCATCCGAGTTCTGGGTCAGGCAGCTGATGAGTGTGCCAATGAGTACCGTCAGGGCTGTTCCAATCAAGCTGTAGTACATAAAGCTGATTGAATAGAATGTCTCCATGGCATTTCTAAAAGCAAAAGGAGAGTAAGTCATCTGGATTTATATATCTTTATTGATCTATCTACATACCGCTCGTGTGCGATTCTGGGCGTTGGATCTATGAAGGTCTGATTGTAGCCATCGACTGGTGTGTGCTTCAGTAGCCAGGGTAGTTCATCTAGTCCACTGCTGGGCTTGACAATGGAACTTGCAAAGGTCGAGTTGGAGCAGCCCTAGAGAATAGGAAATTGGTACTTTAATTATGAATTCCTATTAAAGAGATCTCTCCACTCTTACTTCTGTGGAAGTCGGCAGCATGGTGGTGGGCTTGTCTATGGTCATGCTGCCGCCAATTATCCATAGGACAAATGCGCATGCAGATATCATGCCAGCGGATGTGCCCTTCCAGTTGGCCACAGGCACCATCATGGCCAAGATGAAGCAACCGAGCAGCGGGCCCGACGTGGCCGAGAAGACCAACAGCGAGGACTCGATGACGCCAGAGAGCAGGCCCACCCCGAAGGCAACGCACATGATAATCAGTCCACATATAACCGTTACTATTTTGATTATTCTCAATTGTTGCTTGTCGCCGAGTCCCTTGAATCTCGGGAGCTGCGATACGAAATCCTCCCAGCAAACGGTGGCAAGAGAGTTCAGATTCGATACCATCATGCTAGAGCAATATTTAAGAGTTATTAGCCTAAGCACACGTAATATAGCCTATCAATAACTTACCAGAGGGCACCGTTGAATAGGGTAGCCATAAAGATGCCCACAAAGCCGGGCAGATAGCCCAGTTGATCCTCAACGAAAAAGGGCAAAATCTCATCGGGTTTCTTAATGTAGCCCTCGGCATAGGGATCGCAGCTGATGTACGTGGAATATATGACCATGCCCGAGACCCAGGAGAGCGCAAAGAATACAAAAACAACGGGCACATTGCTCAGCATGACTCTAAAAATGAAACGAAGTTGAAATATATGATTTTAGTTTGAGCAGATAATGATGTTTAGTGATCGCCTTCGGATGAAGTCAATAGGCTGCTAGCATGGGCAAAAAGAATCAAAATAAACACGCTCACACTGAATTTTTATAATTTTAAATGATGACCTAAGTATTTATTCTAAGTATATGCTCTAAATGTTTCATCTAAGCATTTCCCCTCTGTTGAGTTGCCTCTAAGTATGTATTTCTTCCAAGTTTTTGCTCAAAGTATGTCCTCTAAGTATTTCCTTGAACTATTGTTCTATAAGTGTTTACCACCAATGGTTGTCTTTCCTCGAAGTATTTGCTTTATTTCTTCTATGTAATCCACTAAGTATTTCTATCAACTATTTCCCCTAAGTATTTCCTTCATGTAGTCCCTCCAAGTATTCCCTCCGAGTCTTTAATGCTTAGCTGAACGATCACACACTTCACTTCACTTTCCCGCACTGCAAGACTGACCCCCACCAGGCCTGGGGCGACTGAAGAAATGCTGTGGGTACTGCCCTTTATATAGGGCGACTCTCACTTGAGCCCGGTTGCAGAAGTTGCAGTCGAGCTTCGAGTGACCAATGAGACCTCTCTCTGCTGCTGCAAGCACTCTAGCTTCGTTTCACTCAAATATAAATACCATATGATAACTGCTCTATACATATAAACAATTTAAATGATCTTCTGTAGTCCTTTTTGGTCCCCTGTAAACATACATCGGAATAACTTATTACTACTACTAACCTTCGTACTTCCTTGAGGGACTTAAGACTGACGTAGCGCTGCATAAAGTTCTGCTGACAGCCGATCTGTGAGAGGGACATAAACAACTGGCCCAGCCAGGCGGAGGTGGTATCAACGCGCACAGTTACGTCCCCGGTGAAATTCCAGAAGTTTAGGCGGCCTATAGCATAAAAAGAAAGATGAGTCGAGCATAAGATGAAATGCTCATTGAGCATAAAGTAGTTGCATGGCTTGCAAAATATTTATTTCTATGGCAACAATAGAAAATAAAAACCATCGTTTGTTTTTTGCTTAGTGCACTTGCATTGCATCGACGATATATGTAAATGTATATGCATGTAAACTATTATATACATGTGTGCATGTGTGCATGTGGTTTTCTATGGCTGGCCATGTGCTTCGATTCCCAAAGCGCTTGGCAATTGTTAGAACGACAGCAAACGATTCTAACTGAAGTGACAAACGCTCTGCCGTCACACATTTATTACAGTCGTCACGCATTCACATTGTAAGCTGCTGCGGCTCCTGCTGCTGCTCCTGCTGCTGCTGCTGCTGCTCCTGCTGCTGCTGCTTCTGTTTTATATGCCGTTTTTATCATCATCATTTATGTGCATAATGAGCCGACGCAACGTAAAATGGATGCCATTTTAATAGTCATCATTCGTCAGCATAAATATGAAACTGCCACAGACACACACACACACACACTCACACACACACACATGCAGTTTGACAGGCGACGCTAATAAGCTGCCATGATCAATCGGAGTAGCCAGAGTATCCTAAAAGAGAAACTGATTGCTTACCATTATCGCGGTTCAGCTGGTAAACCTTTTTGGGGCCGCCGCTAGAGATTGTGCCCTGTATACAGACCGCCACGGTGACGACCAATATGGTGAGGGTCTGGATGACGTCAGCATTGATGGCTGCCTTAAGGCCACCCTAGATAACAAAAAAGTAAAAGAAAAAGAAAAAAAAACAAGCTGAAGCATGAAGGATATCACAGCTTAACTAAGCCGCCTCAGCTACTTACCATAATGGTGAAGAATATGCAGATGGCCGACATGCCCAGTATGGAGGCCCAGTAGGGTATGCCAATGACCGCCGATAGCGCCACGCTGGGCGTGTAGACGGTGATGCCCAGATTACAGATTTGCCGCACAATGTACGTGGCCGAGGCGAGACAGCGAACGGTGCGGCTCTTGAATCTGAAATTGAGCAGCCAAACGGTTTTGCGACAGGTGAGTACGCGCTGCTTAACTGTTAGCATGGAAGCTCGATTTACAGCATTAATTAAGCCGCAGAAAACAGAAAACAGAGAGCAGAAAACAGCAAACAGCAAACTGGAACGGTAACAGGAACAGGAACTGAGAGTGAATGAGGGATAGGAAGTGGCCCAATGCCTGGCCTCTCATTTATTTACTTTTATTAGCTGCGTTTATTAAAGTTTTAATGGGCTTGGCCTTTTTTATGTGTGGTGCGTTCACTTCGCTTTCTCAGTTTTGTTGTTGTTGTTGTTGCTTTATGATTTACTGCAGCTGTAAAATGAGGGCGCTCACAATAAGTTGGCGTGGCAGGTGCCACTGCTGCCACTGCTGCAGCTCAAGTTTCAGCAATGCCGCAACATTTACGACACGCCCAAAAAGAGGCTGAGTCGCAACAAAATTGGCGAGTTCGTAACTCGTTTTGATTGTTTTTATAGTTGTGTCGGCTTTTTATGATGCAGCCAAGGCACATGGTTATAAAATTATATATACGCGTGTATGTATGTATGTGTGTGTGTTAATTTGACGTAAAGTGCGCGACAAGGCGCCAAGTGACCCACCCAAGGAGGCATCCAGTTACGGCCACCTAATGATCGCTCCGTATGCGCGCGCCTGTGGCACGTGTAATGAACTTGTTGATGTCCCCATTATGACGACGGCCCCACTGTACACATTTATGACTGGCCCCAGCGGGGCTCTTGAATGCACGACCTGATTACCGTTGAAACTATGCCATTATTATTTAAAAAAAAAAATATATATATATAGCTGAGAGGCTATAATCTATAGATTTACAGTGCTGCAAATGAAGGACTAAGATAAGGAGTTTAATTAGGATTCAGCTAGGAACTTGAGCTGATATTTGTAAAAAAATATTCACAGGATAGTCTACAAAATTATATACCTTTTATATATTTTAGTAATAATATTAAAAAAATATATCTTTAAATAGAAACACGTATTTCATGTCCGACTATTATCAAATTTTTTAAGCTTTGCGTCCAATATAGTCAGAATATTCAAAAGAACAAATATTAGTCAGAGAATAAACTGAATACATAGCGGTTTATTCATGTTTTATATCATACAATAAATATTCATATGAAAGCATATTTATATAAATTCTTGTTTTTAGAGAATTTGCATTTTAATAGAAGCTTCGTTTGGCATGTGCACTGGAGTTGCAACTCAATTTGTGTGTTATTTGCACAGCTTAAAAGTGCAACACTGTCCTACACAAAAGCCGCTTGCTATGCATAAAGCTGTAAATTGCTTAAGTGTTGAGTGCTCTTTGAACTGCCATAGAAATTTGCGATTTTTGCATAATTTATTAACAAACAAGCGAGCCCTAGTGGGCAGTATCCGGCCAGGAGATACCTGAACCCAAGTGGAACAGAGGAGCAGAGCAGTAAAGCTATGTACACACACATATCTAGATCAAATCTAATCCTTGAAAATTTGTATTTTTTTGTTAAGTTCAATTATTAACTTAGACATTGTATAGAGAACCAAATTTAAACTAAAAATATGTATATATAAATATAAATAAAAGAAAAGAAAAGCTAAACAAAATATTCTCTAGCTCTTTAAAGCTCCGAACTCATCATGCGAACAGGCATAAGTAAATATCTCTATGCTAGAAATGCTCAAGAGCTATCAAAAGCTTATCAAGAATGTTTGTATGTAAGTGCTTTGTGGGCTCGGTAAGTCATGCTTATGCCTGCTGAATGCTTGGAATATTAAAATCCAAAATAAATTACAATTGAATGATTGCCAGCACTTGTAATTAATATCAATAATAATAGTGTTGTGCACACATGTACATCTCTAGCCTATCTATCATTTAAATATTTGAGAAGCCAATTCATTTCTAGCTAAGTGCTAAGCCATTTGTGTGTGTGTGTGTCAGTTGAGGCTTAAATAAGCACTTATGCCATGCATATCTCGCATATGGGTTCCAAGTAGCACACACACGCACACACACACACATGGCTTACAGCTGTGTTCGTGTTGTGTGATTAAGCCAACTGCATAATCCAGTGTTGTATGCCTGCTATTTGGCCTTATTGATGGCACATTCAATGATTAATTGCCAACTGCACATACACATTTACTGTTGTAGTCCATGTTGTCAACGAGCTCCGGCTAATTTGCATGTTAAAGCTGTTTAGTGTAGCACTTGTGTAATCCTGAAGAGCAATCGAGCAATCGATGCATTTAATGAATGATTAAAAAGAAAGAAATTCAATTCTGCATTTATTTGCATTCGCCGGCGATGGACGTCAATCAATGGGGCATATGTATATCAATCGGCACGCCCACAAACCAATTGGCCTGCAGCTCTGCGTGTTTGTTTGAGCATTTAGCGCGCTTAAGTGCATATTAACCGCGTTTGTTCACTCCCAGTTCGCCTGGGCTTAAGCGGCTTACATGCTTGACAACATGTACAACATGTCGTATGCGTTATATTTTAATTATGAAAGAGTTGACCCAGATAAGGAACGCAAAGAGCGCCAGTGTGAGTGAGTGTGGGTGTGAGTGTGTGTGTGTGTGTGAGTAAAGTTAAGCCGGGGAATGTAAATAGTGCGCTCATTATCATAAAGATATCCTGTGCCTGATGCAAGTGCCACCGCGGCTTTATTAAAAGCCCATTAACTATGGCAATCGAGGGGGCCAATTTGCATGGCGCTTGGAGTGGGCAAGAGAGGAGACGGCGCTGTGACCACAAACAAATTGCACGGGCGTGACAATTGCGAAGAAACAGAAATCATGGCGATTGATACAGAGATGAGAGATGCAGAGTGTGTGTGTGTGTGTGAGAGAGAGAGAGAGAGAGAGAGGGAGATGGCAGAATGGGAGCATAAGCTAGGCAAACATTTGTTTAGGCATTTGCACATGGCGTTCATCATGGCTCTCGCATGTATAACGGAAATTGATAAAGAAATTTGTATTGTGGCAAGCATGAAAACACACGCACGCACACCCACACACACACTTACAGCATATTGTGGGCATCGTCATGCTCATGCTGTAGTTTTTGGTAGGCGAGCAGGACATCTCTCATAGCTCGCTTGCGGTCAATTTTTGCCTGATATGTCAATTTAATATGATTTATGGGAATTATTCCATCGGTCTCTCTTTGACTCGCTCTCTCTCTGTCTCTCTTTCTGTCTTTGTTTTCTTTTTTTTTTGTGTTTAGCTTGTAACAATTGTTTTTCATTTAGCCTGTTAACATCGTGTTCATCACAATAAGTGCTGTATGCATCTATGCCTCTCTCTCTCTGTCTTCCTCTCTTTCTCTCTCTCTCTTTCTTTCCCTTTGTCGCTCCGTCTCTCTCGTTTTCTATTTGTTCGATTGCTTCTTTTTCCTCTAGTTGTGTGAGTGATGACCCGAGGCTGCCTGTCTGGCTGCCTCATGTCCGTTGATTGAGCGCTGTTTGGCACAGTGGGACGGACGGCTTTGTTCTATAGAATTTAATTGATTTGCCTGCCAGCTTATATCTATCTGCGCCCAGTCTCCGCACGTCCATTCCATTCCCTCGAATGGCATTTAGGGTCGCGAACGTCACTTAATAACTTTGAATTAAATGTAAGCGCCGCAAAGTATGCAATAATTGATGCAGCCACGCCAGCGGGCAGGCAGAGCACAATAATGCAACGCCCAGCCAACAATGCCTGCTCTCTCTCTCTCTCTCTCCCTCTCTTTTTGTCTGTCTGTCTCTCTTGCTGCAATGGGGCTCTTTGTTCGCGTTAGTATTGTGGTGCACTGGCTATGGGAACCACTTAAGCCTCGAGTAGCCAGAAGAGCCTGACGCTTTGACAATTCGCTTAAGCCCCGGCGCATCATTTATCATTGCGGGCAGCGGTTGAGTCCGCCCGGTCAGCATAAATTAGGGCTGCAAAATTTAATGTGGTCAGCTGGGAATGGAGTATAATCGCGGCTTTTGGGTGACTGTGCGCCAAGCTAATTTCATAATCAAAAGCGAATCAGAAGTTGCCAACTGGGAGGCATCCCATTTGATTGGATTAAATGCGCCACATAAATAAACATAATCAGGCGTGTGCTCGGCGAGTGCTTCGGCTAAAAAGCCAAATCCCGCTTTACCTTGTTGCCTTTGAATTACAAATCATGTCGCCACTTAGTCGCTGCCCTTATTCATGCGTGCATGTTGGCCCAGAATCCGTTTTTTATTTGCTGCTTGTTTTTTTTTGTTGTTTAGTTTCGGCAGTTGGAGCATCCCTTTGATGTTTGGCGTGGCCCTTGTGACACACATCGTAAATATTCAAGCTGAATTCAAATGCACTTACGAGCGAGCGCACTGCTGTGGTGTGGCTGCCTGTGCTCCACTCTAAGTGCTAACAAGTGTCTCATTGAACCACGGCCAAAACAAGACTCAAATCAATTTATATACTTGTCAGACTCGCCCACCACTCATGAGTGTGTGTGTGTGCGTGTGTGTGTGTGTTGTAATTGTCCTGCATTCACTTGAAGCTCCATTTCCACATTTTTGGCAGATGTTGGCGCGGTCGAGTCAAGAGCTCGACTGTCTCTAAGGGCGCCGTTGGACTTGACCATTGAACTTGGGGCGAGGGCGCCATGGCAAGAACGAAAACAAAAGTCGGCTACAAATCTCGGCCAACAAATACTCGTAAGACTCGAACCCAAGACAAGAGGCAAAGGCCATGTGCTGAGTGGCAGATGTCACTTGCGACGGACTGCTGACAAGACGGCAAAGGCAGAGCGTGAGTGTGTGAGTGTGAGTGCGTGTGTGTGAGTGTGTGAGTGTGCGTATGTGTACGTGTTTTACTGAGTTTCTACCCAGCAGGAAATTTGAGCATATAATAAACCAAATAGAATTTCTTGAAGAAACAACTTTTATACGCAGCTCAGGTATGAAATCTTGCAGCTGAAAAAGTATTAATAAGGCTTTAATAAAATTCTTTTTATTTCATCAGTAAAAACGGCATTGTTTAAAGCCACACTTAAGAGGCCCATAGAAATGCTATAAATTCTCCTTCT